GGTTGATTTCTGACTTGTGTACCCTCGTCATTTTCGCACCTTCCACAGTGAATGTATGTATGGAGATGCTTGCCTTTCTGTATTGATTAGACGCCGCACTTGGCGGGATTTTGTTCGAGAATGCAAGAGTGTTTAGATCTGTATTCCTGAATGCACTGCGCATGTCATCTGCCTTATGTTGCACGACATCTGCAGCTGATCTACAGGACAGCCCCGAGAAATAAGGCGCCTAGGATCACCACCGCGGTGGCTTACGGAAAACTGAGTCGCGGGTCGGTCCCTCGGTTGCATGCATGATCGAGCTAATGAGTGTTTTCTCTCCCTCTCTCGTGTCAAAAAGGATTGATTAGTGATTGCGCGAGTGTTTTTCCTTGATGACGTCTTAGAATTTTTGCAATTGATTGACATGTGGACTGAAAAGCACCCTTCGATCGGGGGTCAGCCTCCCGTACCTCCTGTACTATCAACACGACCTTTTCCCTACAATGAGGAAAGGACGCGTGTATGCGAGTGAGACGTACGAGAAGCTGTCGCGCAGATCAGCGGTCGATACTACTTCCCTCCGGCAAGCCGTTGTTCAGGGTTCGTAGAGGCTGGGTTTGTCATTATCGATACACACTTTCCACCCTACTCGATATTGTTGCCATTCAATGAGTTGATAGTCATCCCGTGGACGGCAGTAGAACCCCACTGGCTGTGCACTCTATGCACCGAATGCCAGCGTTTTGAGCGCTACTAAACCAGGGGTTTCCACTACCGTGTGCAGAGTGAAGACGAACATAGAGAAAGAACCACGCGACTACGGCCATCCATGTCGGATTCCGAACTGGTCGATGAACGACGATGGGACTTGATACGGAAACGAGACACGCAAAACGTGCCGAAACCTTTCTGTTCTAAACAACGGGCCGTAGCCAGGTGGGAAGTCCGGGAATATTTTCTGGATTGAATTTGTATTTCTCTCTCCTCTCACACCAAACTTTCACGCGCGCAGTTAGCGCCGCGAGAAAAACCATCGACTTACTTCATCAGACCAACACGGGGGATTTCAGTTCCGTCTGTGTCCCCACACTCAATTTCCAAAATTCCTTGGCACACCCCATCTTGCTGTTTTTCTGGGCCTCTTTCCGCACACCTAGCACTCCGAACGAAAGACAGCACAGGGCGTGAGGTTGCGCGTCACAACCTTCTTGTCCGACCGGGGGACGAGACCTTGGAAACCTTGCAGATGCTGCCCCCCTCAACATTGTAATAGGGGCGGAAATCCCTCCCGCGGGGACTTTTCCGGGCTGCAGACCATGTGGAAACGGATTTCCGTCCTCTTGCAGGCCACAAAATGCGGGCTATGGGGTCCCGCAAAATGGTTCCGCCAAAGAAATCGCAAATTTTTCCAGGACCTCTTCCGTGGGTTGTGGGATCCAGGAAACAATTCTGCGGCAAAGATTTTCCTTTCCGCATTCCTGTGGGGTCCAGCCCATAGTTAGAGAGGGAGGGGGGGGAGGGGGGGAAAGGGAGGAAAAGGAAAAACTGTACAGTGAAACTTGACAACATATATCCATTGCAATGGGGGGCCTGGGGCCATGATTGAGGGTTGAGGTCCCACCAGCAGAGAGGATTGGATTGAACGCCTGAATTTGGACGTGTTTATGGAAAGGCGCACAAGATCGCTATTGATCTGCTTTGATAGACCTCTGCACAAAAACCGTCCTTTTTTTTTTCCTTTTTTGAAAAGCATTGGTATGGACAGCTATGGTAGGGGAGATGA